GAACTGACAGTCTTGTCTGTTTGATACACCAGTGATTTAATACAATGTGAAGAAAACTCTACTTCTAACGTTATTAAAGTTACCAGAACAAGCACTCCTTTTGGGAACGAAAGCAAACTCCGTGTGTGCTGCCTGCCTTTCTCCAAAGGCTGCTCACTCCAGTTTTGTAAGAGCAGAGATCTCGTGCGGAAAGTCCCTGTGTGTGCCAGTGGGCAGAGGATACTCACGGTGGAAAGGAATGGCTGTTTCTTTGTGCTGCGCCGCCTCCGCCTGCTTCAGGTTCAGTAAGGTGGATGCAAACAAGGGATTGTTGATAAAGTGCTTCATATAATTTTTCTCACACTCCTCCTTGGATTTTGTACATATCTGGTTGGCTAAATCCTGCCTGAAGTGCAGAGAGGGAGAGGCTTAATGTGAAGAATACAGAAATTTTGAGGCTTTTTTTCTTTCTCTAGTGGGAAAAGGTAATTTTGGACAAGAGATTGATTGCACTGTGTGCAGAGAACTATCAGCGACCATGTCTGAATTCACATTTTGTGTACTAACAGTGAGCTGACACATGTCTGGTACAGTGCTAGGGAGCCCTTTTTTGGTGAGATCATGAGCAATTTACTGTCTTTACATGAGAAACTCTCTGGCTGACAGAATGTACCAAATCTTTTACATGCTTGAAAATTTAGTATTGTTATTTGAGAGCTTTTTATACATTTGACTAACTCCAGGTAATGATAAATTCTAAATCCAGAACTGCATTCTGCTTCTCAAGTTTCTCCTGTGATTTTAAGTGGTTTTATCTTTCATGTAGCCACGTTAAACATGTTTTTTAAACACTGAAATGGTTGTACAAAGCACGTGCTAGAAATCTTTGCCAAACGTTCTCGGAAAAGTGGTTGACTAGAAGCACGAAGTATTTTATCTTAATAATCTGGCTATGTAAGCTGAGGCCTTGAAAAAAAATTCACCAGCAGCAATAATTTTACTTTCTGTTAAACTAAAGACTGGATGCAAGGGATTCCAGGAAGAAAAGTCAGTTTTTCCTTTATTTGGCAAAGGCTGAAAAAAGCCAAGTGTTCAAGGAGAAAGTTAAGGAACTTGTATTTCTATGTAGAGCAAAGTATACCAGACAGCATACATGCAGAATGTAACTGCAACCAGTTTTCAGTCTTAATTTTGACAGCAATGTACACATAAAACTCGCAGTTCTGTTTCAGTGAAGTCTTTTTCTACAGCTATTTTTTCATAAAGGAGAAGAGAGGTAAGTCATGACCACAATCGCCTTTATTTGCAAATGCATAAAATCCTGTAGCAGCTACAGAAGTTAACAGAACACAACATAAAAACACTAAATATTTCCAATGCTGCATCCTAAATATGCAGGAAACCCCCCAAAAATAACACCACCTTGCTAGCCAACTGTGGGCAAACCAAAACCACACAGGATAAGAAATTCCGTAGTTTGTTTTTACACGGGAGTAAACTGAGGCACAGAAAATCTTGTGCAGCAGTTGAGCTCCTTCAAAACCTAGTGACTTTGATGCGAACTGAGGGAACTTTGTACTTCACTGGAGGTGCCCTGCATCTCACAAGAAGCCTTTAACAATTTCCTTGTATATCTAACAGCAGATCTGAAAACAGAATCTGCTATTCCAGTCTTCCGCTTTAGCTGCTAAACTCGTGTCTCACCCACAACAAGTCACTGAAAATCAGTGTGCACTGCTGCATTGAACAGTGAAATGGAAAACCACCCATCATTCACAGAAGCTGGCTGAACCACTAAATTCTCACCAGTTTCCAAATCCGCAGTCCATCACAGCTTCTAGGAGTGCCATTTCCTCTTGAGCTGTCCAGTTAGGATCCAAGACACGGAAATCAGAAGTCTAGAGAAGAAAAAAGCAAATCAAACTGCTGTGGTCGTCTGGTATGATCACATGAAGAGCACAGAAGTTCTAAGCTACAGGGCAATACTGGTAGTTTTAAACTTTTACTGTGTCCCATGGAACCTGATCAAGTAATTGTTGGATTTTTTAGGGCACGGGATCATCAACTACAGTAAAAACCAGTTTGTCTCTACAGATCTGAATATACTGTTGCATATCTACCATCTGTAATTCAATAATGTTACGCTAAGAAACACAATAAAAATTACTAAAGATTTTAAAAATCATTAATTTTGGGGAAGAAAAACCAAGAATAGAGAAATAGAAGTTGATCCACATGGTTAAACAATTGTCAGTCCGGTGAGAGACGTTTTGCTATCCAGGCATGATAAAAAAATAGAGCTTTAAATGTCTCCACTATTCCATTATGTTCCAGGTGGACGTTTTCCTTTGCTCTCAAGGAAGACTTTTTTTAATAGTTCTAAACCTCTGAATCAAAGAATTGTATCACTTAACTTTTCAGTGTAGTATTAGTAAGCAAGGATCTGACTTCTGTGAAGTTATGAAAGCTCAAGTTCGAGCAGGTTTTATCTAAAAGGAATACTTACCATTATCTCATAGGTATGATCACTTTGATGTTTCTTGTATTCAAATCCTGGT